CATTTCCTCTTGTCCTATCACTTGTTACTTGGGAGAAGAGACCAACCCCCACCTTGCTACAACCTCCTTTCAGAGTGGTAAGGTCTCCCCTCAACCTCCTCCTCTCCAGGCTAAACAACCCCAGTTCCCTCAGCTGCTCCTCATAAGACTTGTGCTCTAGACTCTTCAACACTCCTTGGTTTCAGATTTGCTACTACAGGTATCAGGTCAGTGATGTGACAATTTATAACTGCAGTAAAAATGCAGCATGTTTTACCTTAAAGGAAACAAGTTCCCTAGCAAACACTATATACTTCTACAAAAAGTTAACATAAATTTAAGAAAAAGGAACTTTGTCTTCTGTTCATCTCATGCTTACCTTTTTTAAGAATAAGAAGGCAAAGAAAAAAAATCTAGCTTAATCAGTCAAAATGCATTTACACTTGTATTGGTAAGTTTATCGAACTAAAAGAAAATTTCCCAAAAATCTGTCAGCTGGGGGGAAACTGCTTTCCACAGACTGACCTAATAAAACTTTAAGTTACTTGTGGTATCAACAAACAGCAACCACAATTACGTAAATAATACCAGTTAGCTTAGTCCTACTGGCTAAAGCCTGAGCTGAAGTTCAAGAGTGACTAACCATTTTACACGCCATCTGATGGACTCCATCTTCCAACATTTTTGTTGCAAACGTCAAGAAGAAGAACTATTTGCTGTTCCCTTCTATCTGCTGGCTTGCAAAATTATCTACAAAACTGTGACCCTGTTCGTGATGGCATTTGAATACCTGTTTCCCTTAAAACAGCTGAATTCGCACCACGATTTCAAGCTAAAACCTTGTTGACTTTAAGCAGATTTTTAAATTAAGGTTAGAAGTGAAGTACCTTTCCAAATTGAAGCCTGGAATATTTCTGCAGTGCAAGCTTCATAAGAGCAAGAAAATTTTGGCAGTTTACAGTAAAAATAAAACTTTCACATCAAAACTATTTTTATCTAAACTTTGATGAAGTATCCAAAACATTAGTTTCATTGACATTCTCATCGATGTCACAACTTTAGATTAGAAAGAATGTTATACTGTCCTCAAACAATTAGTGACAATCTATTTCTTTAGATTTTGCAATGGGTTTTTCAAGAAGTGTTAGTGCCAGTCTCCAGCTGAAGTTTATTTCTCTCTAAAAGCAGGCTTTGGTAAATTTCTCAAATCCCAAAGCAATTTTTTCTCCACCTGAGTAAGCTTTAAGTCAAACCAAAGTACAATAGTACACTTAAGCTGGTATGTTAAGCCGATGTTTGCAAAGGTACTGAAGGCTGATGGAAGACAGTCTCACCAGAAGGCTTCATCTGCTGTTTGTGCACAGTCCCAAACAAGATTAAATGGAAAGCTGTTACTACTACTGTGCAAACAGGCAGAAAGTTAAAAGTCTTACACTGTCTGCTGAATTGTTATCCTGTTCTTTTGCCTAATACAATAAAACAACCTAAGAGTCAAAATAAAATACAGGAAGACCAGATGGATTTCTAACAGCAGCATACAGGCCAAATAAGCACAGTACTGCCAACTATAAATGAAGGTCCTGCCAAGAAGCCAGATGTAGCTAGTGGAATATCTCCTACAGCTTGGCATTGGGGCACTTTATGTTCCATATGCAAATTACAAGGAAAGTATAATACTGTGTGTTTTATCTGGCTTGATGAACACTTTCTTTTGATTTTTCAGTCCCTGTAACCTCTCCTGTGAAGGAATAAATACGTGCAAAGAACCGATACACTCAAATTCAAGGCTCAAAAACCTACTTACATCAGCACATTTTCTTTCATTATACAATCATTCATTTCCGTAACGTAATTAGCTTAAGACTTTTGTATTTCAGAGACATAACAGACTGCCAATGTTCAGTAACTCAGTTGTCTCTGTAGGAATACATGCTTGTAACATGTCCAAATTCCAACTACAGAGATGCTGCTCTGGTTTCAAAGGCCATCTAGCGTCGAGGAGAAGCTTTCCACTTCCTACCTAAACTAACACAATGCAGCTGAAGATTTTAATATAAGGAAACAAACAAACAAAAATATTTCTTAGTATTATCCCAATGAAAACAGTAACTTACTGTCTTCAGAAAGTTATCCAACAGTATTGAAAGCATTTAGTTTTCTAGATTTGTGTAAGTCACCAGTTTACTAAATATTCAGTAGTCAAATGCTAAGAATAAATGAAAAAAACTAGTTACACTACAGAAGACAAATGTACGTTACTGAGTTTAAGAAATGTTTACAAATATCCCTCCTAAGAGCTCCATCTAAGATTTGAACTTTAATTTAAGCTTGCAGTACTGTACACAATGTCGCAATGAGCAGTGCCACAGCCAAACAGCACAGCTGCAGCAATACCGCCGGTACCGAAACACACTCAAAGCTCTCACTTCACCGATTGCAGAGTTAGGCAGCTGATAACATTACTCCCAGACGTTTTGCGCTAATATTTGGGAAATGGTTCGATCAGACATGCATTAGGGTTGAAGAGCTATGACAGAAAAAAAGTCCTGTGTAAACGTCCCATCATTCTCAACATGTCTAATTTATTTCTTCTGAAATTTTTCCTATAAACCTTAAGCTTATCCTGGAGTAAAGCCACAATACTTGATGTGACTGCAAAATACTACCACAAGTCATGATCACGACCTTTCTACAGACAAACACTGTCAGTCAGTAAATGAAACCTAATTCAGATGCACTTAACGACGAATACACAATGTGAATATTGAAGAAATAAATGTTAGTCTGTATACAATCTCGACCTGTTTTGACACGAAATTTCCTCTAAGTGCTTTGTGTTTAAAAAGGAAAATAAGGGGGTTTTTTATGTTGTACTGCTGATGTTATAAAAAATTATTTTTACTGCCTTTTCAGCAATTGGTGAACAACTGTTCACAGAAGCTACAGAAGCATCAATACCTTGATTATAGCACCTTCTGATCTTTTCAAAGAAATTTTAAACTCAGTCCTTCCTCACAAGTGACGTGAAAAATTAATGAAATACATGATTTCATTTACACCAGTGGAGAAGAACCAAGAAATAATATAGAAAGCAAAAAAGTTGACATTATTTTTTCCCTTTTGTTTCTTTATAATTCAAAATGAAAAAAAAAAATCAAAGGGCTTATTGTTTTAATGCAGGAAATATTATTTATTATTTCCTTAAAATCTAGACAAAAATTAATATAAAAAAGTTATGTGATCTATTATTTCCTTTTTTGTCTTACTTCATACAGACTGAGTTCTACAGTTCTCACACTACTGACCTTACAAATCTTAAAAAAATACATTCTGAATGGTTGAGCTTATAGCGTAATCTCATGAATTCTGAAGATAAATAACTGAAAAAGCAATTTTTCTTAAGCTGTTTACAATTATTTCATATAAATTAACTTTTGAGGGATATTCTGTACAAACTACTGATTACAAGCACACAAAATTAAAGCTCTTTATAAAGTGTTTTTTCCTTCTCTCATTTTGTATCTCCTCCTGTTCAATTTTTCAGCTGAGAAAGTACCAAGGTATAAAGCCTTTATTCAAATAAGTATGCCACAAAATTACACCTATTTTTTAAAACAGTCTTAAAAACTCAGAGAAATACAGATCTCAGATGTACATGTTAAATGTGCATGCAAACAAATAAATATATGTCCACTCCACTGAGAAAACACAAATAGAATCAAGACTATAAATTCAAAACCTAGTGCTACCATACATGAGTTCCAGTATTTTTGAAATTTCTTATTTTACTAATTTCTGGTTAGTTAGCCGTAACATAGCATTCATGCAAAATTCTGACTTTAAGAAGGTAAACACTACCTGTGTAGCAATCTAATGTACACATTTATCATGAATTAACAAGTAGCACTGACAGAGCAAGATACACAACAAAGAATCCACATCTGCATGACCAACAGCAGCTATGTATGTATTTTTTCCCTTGTTCTTCATTTATCTGAACAAAATTAGAGCAATATTGGCATCTGATATTTTTTGCAACAAATACATGCTTTTTATTAACATATCCTGATGCTGACTTAAGACAATTCCCGCAATTTATACGAACTCTAGTAATACTGAAAGTGCTGTTTTAATACAAATGACCTGCTATTTGTATCAAGGCTACAAGCTTCTGAACAGTAAGCAGAGTAACTCCCCAGGTTTTAAATTTTAACGTGCACAATTAACGTAAGCAGCCTAAGACAAGCAACACACATAACAGAATATTAGGCTTCACTATGGTGATTTTTGCCATCGAATTTAAACAGAATTGTAGTAACTGCAATGTTTCACATCCAAATTATAAAGCAAGAGGGTATTATTGTAATAATCTGTAAGAACTTCCATTACAGTTTGGGGAAGCCCTATAATCTAATGCCCATCTCAACCACAAGAGTGGTTTTTTTCAACCTCTTGATTTCCAAATCTCAGTTTCCTACAAGCACTATCAATTTCTCCATAGTTAATTTTAGCTCGCTCACAACCATCTCACTCTTCTTATTTATCACATGTACCTCATTTTCTGCATGTCTTTGTCTAGTTTGTCTATTACACTGAAAAGTCCATTAACAAAGTTTTATTTCATCACAGAACCAAGCCTTTAATAATTAATTTTTATGAAAGCTCAACGAACCTTTTCTAGTTTGCCAGTATCTTTGAACTGACTGTGGTCAGCAAGAAACCAACAGAACACCGCAATAGCAGCGATACCACTACAAAACAGGCTACAATTCTACCTCTCCTGCCCGAGAGCCCTTTTATACATAAAAGCATGACACTAGTCTTCTAATTTTGTTTCACAATGGAAATTCCAGTTTTAATGAGAATTCAGTAAAAGAACATATTCCTTTTAGGAGCTGTCATCTCCCACCTGCATGATCTACATACCTTTTGTTCTAGGTGTGTAATTTTACATGTTATAGTATTCAAATGAGTATAACCTTAGTGCAGAGGATAAAAAACAAAGTTAACTTCTCTCCTACCTTCAAAAGCTGCTTGCCAATTGTTGGACTCATTTTTTCATCCACCATAAGAATGACTATTCCTCTGTCATCCATACCTCTGCGTCCTGCACGACCTGACATTTGAATGTATTCACCTGAGGATATCTAGGATAAAACAAAAGAAAGAAATTAACAAACGTTAGAAAAATAGCAAGACCATGGAAAGCGCTACTTATGATGTGTAATGTACAATTATAATATATAAATGACCATGATGTATGAAATTAGGAAATGAGAGTTCTCTAAGACAGGAACTTTTCACAGATTGAATTCATTACTCATAACTGATCATTAAGCTGCTAAGATACAAATCCATGACTTTGAATTATGTTTGTCAGCAGTGTAAGTTAACGCTCCCATAGCTACAGTGATTCCATAACAAGGTGCATCATTTTAGTAAGCACAAAACTCATTTTACTAATGTCTTATGTGATGAAAGATTGCTGGGCATGGTAGACATTTTTAAAATCTCTATTTGGTAGTAAAAGAAAGACCAGGGAAACTGAGGCCCATTGCTGAATGAGGCGGGTACCCTGGCGACAGAGGATACAGAGAAGGCAGAGCTGTTGAATGCCGTCTTTGCCTCAGTTTTTACTACTAAAGCTGGCCTTCAGGAATCCCTGCCTCTGGCAGTAGGGGAAGAAGTCAGAAGAAAGGAGGACTATCCCTTGGTCAAGAAGGAGTGGGTTAGGAATCTTTTAGGTAAACTAGACACTCACAAATCCATGGGCCCTGATGGGATGCACCTAAGAGTGTTGAGGGAGCTGGCAGACACCATTGCAAAACGGCTCTCCGTCGTCTTTGAAAAGTCATGGCAGACAGAAGAGGTGCCTGAGGACTGGAGGAAAGCCAATGTAACTCCAATCTTCAAGAAGGACAAGAAGGAGGATCTGGGAAACTACCGGCCAGTCAGCCTCACTTCCATTCCTGGGAAGGTGATGGAAGAGCTCCTTCTGGCTGTTATCTCCAAGTACATGGAGAAAAAGAAGATTATTGGGAGTAGTCAGCATGGATTCACTAAGGGGAAATCATGCTTGACCAATCTGATAGCCTTCTATGATAAAATGACTGGCTGGGTAGATGACGGGAGGGCAGTGGATGTGGTCTACCTTGACCTTAGTAAGGGCTTTGACACTGTTTCCCACCACATCCTCACAGGTAAGCTTAGGAAGTGTGGGATAGATATGTGGACAGTGAGGTGGGTTGAGAACTTGCTGAAGGACAGAGCTCAGAGGGTTGTGATCAGGGGTGCTGAGTCCAGCTGGAGGCCTGTGACTAGTGGTGTTCTCCAGGGGTCAGTACTGGGGCCTGTCTTACTCAACATTCATGAATGACCTGGATGAAGGGACAGAG